TTGATGTTTATTTATTTTTGAGGGAGATGAGACAAAATGTGAACGGGGAGGGGCAGAGAGAGAGGAAGACACAGAATCCGAAGCAGGTTCCAGGCTCTGAGTTGCCAGCACAGAGCCCGATGCGGGGCTTGAATCCACAAACTGTGAGATCATGACCTGAGCCAAAGTAAGATGCTCAACCAACTGAGCCACCAAGGCGACCCTAAAAGGTTCTTTTAAAATAAAGCTATTATGGAAAGAGATGAACTATTTAGTTATAGAGAATTAACTGGTTTATAGAAAAGGAAAAGGTGAGTGTAATAAGGATTTTTTCCTTAATTTATACATACAGAGAATTAATAACTCCACCCAGAGCTGAAACAGATACATTTTTTTCAGTTTATTTATTTTGAGAGAGAATGAGTATGTGTGTGTGCGCACGCGCACGTGTGGGCAGAGGAGGGGCAGAGAGAGAGAGAAAAAGAGAGAACCGCAAGCAGGCTCTGCACCATCTGCACAGAGCCCGATGCAGGACTCCATCTCATCAACTGTGAGATCATGACCAAGCTGAAATCAAGAGTCCGACACTTAACTGAGTCACCCAGGGGCCAGTGAAACTGATATTCCTGATGTATTTTTTATTGTTTATTTACTTATGTTAGAGAGAGAGGGAGAGCAAGTGGGGGAAGGAGAGAGAGAGAGAATCCCAAGCAGGCTCCACACTGCCAGTGCGAAGTCCATTACAGGGCTCCAACTCATGAACCCTGTAAGATCGTGATCTGAGCTGAAATCAAGAGTGGGACACTTAACTGATTGAGCCACCCAGGTGCCCCTATTCTTGATATTTTTATAAATGACCTGAGAGAAAAAGTAGTGGGACACTGTTAAATTCAGAGATAAGGTAGAAGCATTTGCAACTTTTCTGGAGGGAAATCTGAAGGAAATACTCATCAGAATTATAAATGCACATATGCTCTGACCAAGTGATTACACTTCAGATTTGTCTTACAGACACTCGTACAAGGGCTCCATGTTCAATGTTCGCATTGTTTATGACAGCCAAAAACTGGAATACCCAGTTTTCAGAGGAATAAATTAACATACATAAGATATTATGTAGCAATTTTTAAAATACAGTATTCACTGTGTGCCAAAAACAAAATTAAAAATGCAAAGACTACATAAAACCTGTTGAACAGAGAAGTGTTAAGATTTTATGAAGTTGTCTAAGACGCAGTTCTTACCAAATGTCTTGTGTCAGGCCTTGAAGCTTGTAACTGTTCAAACTCTTCTATTTTTGCAAGATCTACATCTTCTTTTAGTTCCCAAGTACTATCTTCATACGGTAATGAGCACCACTTTACTAAGTAGTAAATAACAGGCTGTAAAAAAAATTTTTCATTTTACCATTTTGAAAAAGAGTAGCTAGAAACAGTTTCAATATACGCACCCTACATCCATAAAAACTAAGGAAACATTTTTCAGTGTTTTTAGGTCATTAATTTTTTAAGAACAGTAGGTTTTAACATTTGGCAAGTTTAGGTTTTTAATTTTTTTAACTAAATATTTACCTCACCAGTGTCTTTATCTTCACAAAAAGAGACTTCTAACACTCTGTCTACTTCAACGTAGTCTGGGTTAAATGGTTCCTCTTCCATCTATAATTAAAAAGTAACTTGATCGATATTTGACAAAGAAGTAGAAAGATAAAAGCATTATAAACACAATTTAACTAGCTATTTTCTATACAGCAAACATAAGTTTGATTTCAATTAAATTTTCAATGAATGGGATACTTCCCTTTTAATTTCCAAAAGATACCTACGATGTTTGTCTATACTATGAATCAGCATGTTACATATAATAAAAGCAACCAAATAACACCAAAAATTAAGGTACCTTAGATGAGTAGCTTACTCTAGAAGACACGTTCCTTAAAATTTTCCATAAAGGGTCTCTGTACCTTTCTTTTGCCACTTTCCTCAGGTCTATGTGTTGGAGGCCAACCACCCCACCTGTAGGCCCATCTATCAGCTGTATCAAACATTCTTGATCTACTGATGATTCCTGGGCTCAGGACCCAATGACTTAAATGAAAGAGGACTCTCTATCTGAGTGACCTCAAATTGCACTCATTTACTCTTCAACCTATGTGCGCTTCTTTCCTGCAGTTTCCTACTAGGCTAGTGATAACACAGCACTGCCCCCACCCCCTTATTCCCAGTTACACAAGTCAGACATGGAGAAGTCAGCTCAGATTCTTTCTCTTTTTTAATCTCCCACATCTAGTAAGTCATCAATTCTTATAGATTCTGCCTTTAATGACAGCTCAGATTGGTTCCTCCTTCCTCATTCTCCCTGCTTCGTCACTCCTTACGTGGACTCCGACAACCTCCTAACTAGTCCTTGACTACCTTCTTGCCTCCCTTTAATCCATTTTCACATTGACCCTAGGGTGATCTTTCTCAAATATAAATCTTACCCATGGCTCCCCTGCTTCAAATCCTTCAGTGACCCTCCCTTGTTTGGGGATCAGGCCCACATTGGTTTGTGTGGAATAAACAGGATTGTACCTTTTCCTCCAGCCTCACCTCCTACTGCTTGGCACAGCTGTACCCCAGATTTCATGCTCCCGAAGTACAAAAACACAGCCTTTTCAAACTCCATGTTATGGCACACCTCCATGTTTTTAAACTCGTTCTTCTCCCTTCTGAATGGATTGTTGTTCCTTCTCCTGTCTGCCCGGCTGTTTCCTACTCATTCCTCAACGCCTTACTTTCAATAGCCCTTCTCGACTATCTCTGCTGCCTCTACTCCTCTGCTTAACCTTTAAATACTGTAGTGCTCCATGGTTCTGTGTTTAGTTCTCTTCACTGTCTCAAATCCTTCCTGAACAATGGTATCATCTCGGGATCTCTTGATAACAAAGACACTGCCCAACATCAGAATGGTAACGAGGTACTTTTAAGACAATCTGCATAGTTCCAATTTATGTTGTACCTGAGTCAAGTGAGAAAAATTAGTCTTTGTGAAAAGTTAAAAGATTATTAAGTATTTCTAAAATCTTTAGCTCATTAGAAATTTCTGTATTAGAGTGAGGAGGTGAAAAAATTTTGACCTCCCAGCATCCATAAACTGAGGAGGTCATTAGAATCATCAAATTTTTAAAGTCGATTTTATAATTAGAAAGGAAGTAAGAGTAACTTCATGGTGCAAAAATCTGCCGGATACCACCATAATCTAGTGATTAAAGTTACCACCACCAGTAATGGGGCAAACAGGTATTGTGCACTTCCTGATATGATTTATTGAGAAGGCTACAGTATCATTTCTGTGGTGGTCTTTTACTTTAATTCCAGTGGAGTCAATACACAGAGTTACATTAGTTTCAGGTGTACAATATAGCAATGTTCTTTTAACATGACTTGAATCCCGAGAAAGCATCAGACGCCACCAAATTTACCACCTATACTCTTTTTTCTTTTCTTTTTTTTTTTTTTTTGAGAGAGAGAGATAGCAAGCGAGCGAGCAAGGCGGGGAGAGGGGCAGAGGGAAGAAAAACAAGAATCCTAACTAAGCAGGCTCCACGCTCAGTGCAGAGTCCAATGCGGGGCTGGATCCCACAATCCTGGGATCATAACCTGGGCCGAAATCAAGATTCAGATGCTTAACTGACTGAGCCACTCAGGCGCCATTACCTATACTCTTAAAAATGTTCAAGTAATGAAAAACACAGAAAGACCAATTAAAAGACATATGACAACACAATTCAACATATGATGCTGGATTGGATTCTGGACCAGTTTAACAAACACGAAGACACATCTTTTGCTATAAAAATAGTGGAGCAGTTACTGAAATATGAATAAGGTTTGCAGATGGGTTAATACGACATCAATGTTAATTATATTATTATGTAACAGAATTCTTGAAAACTTAAATACTGATGTATTTGCAACTTGCTTTCAAATGGTTTAAGAAAAAAGGAATGTTCATGGGAGGGAGGCAGAGACTGAGGCAGAGGGAGAACGAATGTGAATGAAAAGCAAACATGGTAAAATGTTAACATTTAGGGAATCGTGTTAAAATATATGTGGGAAAATAAAATGTACAGCATAGGGAATAGAGTCAATGGTGCTGTGATTGCTGTATGGTGACAGATGGCAGTTACACTTGTGGTGAGCACAGTGTAACATACAGACTAGTGGAATCACTATGTTGTACACCTGAAAGTAATATAACATTGTATGTCAACTATACTTCAAGTATAAAGATAGATATAGATACAGATATATATACATGTGAATTCATTGTACTATTTTTACAACTTAAGATTTTCAAAATAGAAACTCTAAAAAAATCTTCAAATGAAAAAGTTAAAAAAAATTTAGATGAATCTAAAACTGCTCTAAAATAAGCCCATTAAAAGAAGAAAGAAAAAAAATTTAGAGCTGAAAAGGCCATCAACTAATAGGTGAGACCGTTCAAGTGAATTATTCCTATGATGTTTTTGTTCATACACACACCACCTGGCATAGAAAATATGCAACATATTTCATGTACTGAAAAATCTTTAAAATTTCCATTTACTTGCTACATTACCATTTCCATTACTTGAATAACTCTGCTGATAAAATTCTTTGAGACATTAACCCACTCATATTCAACTCTTAAGTATTGAAATACTGTGACTTTAAAAATACAAGAAAAAACTAAAAATAAAATAAAAATAGAAGAGTTATCTGCCACTCTGAATTATCAGTGCTCCTGCTGCAGCTAGTTTCCAAGCTAAATTTGGGGAGAGAAAATTACTATATGAAGATGGCATTTGTATTCAAATATCAAACTTGGAAGCCTAAGAATTAAAATGAATAAGACTTAAATTGTTGATAAATAACACTAAATTTGTTCAGAGTTCAACACATAATAGTTTCATTTATTTCCTTTTCTTACGTCTGCAAAAAAATGTGCTCTTTGTGCTTGTCTCAGTTTGAATCGTTTGATTTTCTGCTGGATCCTTTTATCTTTCAAAAGCTGCTGTTCTGTGGCCCACTCACAGTGAAGATAGGAGCTAAAATGTTTATAAAAGCAATATATTAGAATGACAGAGAAAATCATGTTTTGTTTTGTTTTTTTAGATTTATTTTTAATCATAGCATCCAATACAAAATATTCAACTTTATGAATAGGTAGCTCATCATTTCATTTAATGCCAACAGACTCTGTACAATTTCTAAAATAAAGCCACTGTGATCATTATATCCTAAGGAGACTGTAGTATAAACACGTGCAATTTGCCACACAAAACAGAATGGTAAACCAAGTCATCAGGGCAACGAGATGTGATTTATCAGTTACTTCTTCACTGTATTAGTTTTGTTATGATCAGAAAGCTAACTTATTTCAAAGCCAACGTAATTTTATTTAAAACACTTTCTGTCACATAAGTATAGGAAAAAGTGGAATAAAATCTGAAAAGTTCAACAACATAACAAGTAATGTCTATAATTTGTAAAAGAATATTTTATTCTTTCATTTTGATATTAATAGTTAGTGTTTTCTGGAAGAAAATCCCCTTAAACTTTTTTTTTTTTAATGTTTATTTGTTTTTGAGAGAGAGACACAGTGAGAGGGGAGGGGCAGAGACAGAGGGAGACACAGAATCCGAAGTAGGCTCCAGGCTCCGAGCTGTCAGGCCAGAGCCTGACATGGGTCTTGAACTCACGAACCGTGAGATCATGACCTGAGCCGAAGTTGGACGCCTAACAGACTGAGCCACCCAGGTGTCCGCAAATTCCCTTAAATTTTAACATAAAGGGTTTGCAGCCTTTTAAGTTCATGCATTAATTAAACACTTTAAAATGCAGATAAAATAAAAAGAATAATTTAACTTAATATATTTAAATGTTAATTTATATTTAAATCAGTATTTTCTATTATTTTTCTATCTCAGATACTTACTAATTCTTGTATTTTACAAAAAATTCTTCTGTATCAATCATCACTCCAGGTGATACCTAAGGAAATAAAATCAACACTTAGGAGTGTAACACTCAGGCCACGTAAAGTGTGCAACGTAACGTGAGATTACTTACTTCCTTTTTTGTAATTCTAGAAGACAGGATTTTATCCACGATTGCAGCATCTTCTTCACTTGGATTCTCCTATGGGAGGGAAGAAAGAAAATACGACGTCACATTTTAAAAACTCCTTTAGTTGCTACTTTGTAGGTTTACGAACACACTAAAATTCAGCAGATGTTTATTGAGCATGTGTGCCGGGCGTGGTGTTAAATGTTAGGAATACAAAAATGGAAAAACATCACTGTTGTTACTGTCCTGGTCAGCACCTGCATCTTCATCACCGGACACGTACTGTGCTTAATGGGCTCAGCGTGATCATCAGCACTTCATGTATATATTAACTCATTTAACCCTCACAAGTACACAACAAGGTAGGTACTATTATTGTCTCCACTGTACCGATTAGGAAGCTCAAGCACAGAGAACATAAGTGCTTGCCCAAGGTGTCAGATCACTCAGTTGGCAGGTGCGTGGCTGGGCCACAATCCAGACAAGGAAGGTGACAAGAACGCACAGAGAGGAAGATGCACACTCAGAGATACAGAGCGTGCACCCATATTCATAAGGCCAGAGGAGTCAGTGCTTGTGAAGAAGTGGCATGAGGTAAGGCCTCCCTCCCATCCCCCCCCCCCCAAAAAAAATCCACACAAAGGGCTCTGTGCACTGGGCTAAAAACACATCATTCTATTCTGTAAGACTTGGGGAGCTATTAGAGGAGGTTTCAGTAGAAAAGTACTATGATCAGGACTATAATTCAGAAATATTCTGCAAAAAGGATAGCATTTGGAGGAGTTTCAGAAATACATATGTAAGGGGTGAAAAACAAGGTGATAAACTGTATGAAGAAGCAAAGGAAGAAAACAGAAAGGATGAATCTCTAGGTTTCTGATCTGAATAATTAATGGTTCCTTTAACTACAATATGGAATCCAGGAGGAAAAGTTGGAGCAGATTTTAGGAGGAAAGATAATGAGAGTATTTTAAAGAATGTATGTTGACTTCAAATGATTTGTACTTATAATCCCAGATCTGTCTTACCACAAATAACTGTAAAGGCTGTTCACCAGGTAAAGGAGCTGAATTCTTTTTTATTTTCATAGAACCTTTGAGCTCTTCTTCAGATTGTTTCCCTTCTGCATCTTCCGCATATTTTTTTCTTTTAATTTGACGATTTGATCTTCTTTTCTGTAATGAACCATAAGGATCATATTTATATGACAGATTTTAAAGGAAAGACTTTAAAAATAATTACTCCTAGTGTGGCAATTTTGTACATTAAATTTTTGAAATTGTCTTCAACATCCATCTTTTCTCATTTTTCCTTTTAATTAAAGGAAGATTATAATTTTCCCTTTGCCACAGGCTCAGAATCTTGTTCTACTTCCTAACGTTTCAAATAACAAAGAATAGTCAAACCATTATTACTTTTCTTTAGAAATTATTACAATTAAAAAAGATTTATTTAACCACTTCATACCTTGGGCAAAACATATTTTATTAGTAATACCTTTATTACCTGTCTTTAGAAACTATTGTTGAGAAGAGTAAAGACATGTTTTATTTAGCTATTTCACACTTTGGGCAACACATACTTTAAACTGTTAATACTTTTGCAGTTTTTGCTTCAAACCTAAAAAGTGCATCAGATGTATACTGGTTAAATAATTAATCGGGGACATAAAACTAGAACACGATATTAAATAACTGTTACCACAAAACCCACAAACTTCTGTTTAAAACAGAATGAAATAATGTAAAATATTTTAAGAGATACACAAAATAATCAAGTAAATCTACCAAATAATTTAATGTGCATGAAAGAGGAACCTGTTTTTTACTGACTTTACTAGCTTCCCTTAAAAAATAAAAAACACTATCAAAAGCAGAAGTAAGCCTTTTGAAAAGTATTACATTTTAAAGTAATCTAAATGATTTAAAATCAGGTATAATACACATGGCTTTACTTACCTCCCTACATATCTAATATTTGATCTTCCCCACTATAAAATCAAAATCTCAAATTGGCTTGAAAATTTCAAAGAACCTAGGTTTGCTTTTTTTCCCCACATCCCTAAAATCTCATGGGTGGAAGCATCTCAGCCAACTTTTCTATTGCTCAGTATTTGGTAAATCTACCCCTTCTTCCTTCCTTTTTCTATGCCATTTTATATATTTAGTAACTCCCATGACATCCCCCCACATTAAAACCAGCAAAATGACCTATGCATTCTCCTTTTGGTTTCCGCGAATATCCTCAATTTGGTAGGCCTTTCATATTTCCATAGCCATTACAAAAATGCCTCAATCAGTGCAGCAGGCTGAGGACAAACTGCATTCAAAAAATTGCAGTGGCCTTTTACATGCCTCTGCCTGTTTCTCGAGTTGTGGAATACTGAGAGAAAGAAAGGTACTAATATGGTGAGTTAGGTTAGCCAAATACAGTAGATAACCTCATGACTCATGTAGGATGGGTCACCATCTCTTGGCCATGAAGACATACACATTTTCAAAACTCAAGGTAACACTGTTGTTAATATGGGAGACAGGAAGGTGGCATATAAAAGTTGTAATAAAAGGAACTTCTAGAAACCCAAATTTTCCCACATCTTATTTTGAAAAAAAAAATTACTATTACTTGAGGGAAAAATTCTATGGATCTCTAATCTAACACTAGGCTGAAGGAATATTTAGAGTTCTACTACAGGCATCATATAGCTCTGAATACTCAAGAATAGCTTAAATTAGTAAACCAACAGTGACATTTATTATTCTAACAATAACATGTATTACCAATGTTATGTCTCATTGGGCACAAATCTTCTAGGTAGTGAAGTTTAAGAGTAATTCGATATACTTTTAGAAGATTCCATTTGATGTTTTCAGCATTAAAGTTTCCTTTCTGGTCACTTAGGTATCTATTAGTACTTTGAAATGCCTCATTTAGGTCTTTCATAAATTGTAAATGAGTGGCCTGAAAGAATCCTTTGCACTAACAAAAGTGCACATTTAGATAATTCTTCACAAGATAACATGAGAGCCACGTATCGTAAGCTGCATACTCATCCTATGAAGACTTTATCAATCTAAAAGATGAATTAAAAAGTGTGAGTTATGTGATTATTGCTGGAATATTATAAGATTATTATAGATACTATAAGATTATAGCTGGAATCATTACAGTGGAATAAATTATATTCGACTAGAGAACACAGCTACACATCAGGCCAAGCCAAATGAGGTGCCACTCTCAACAAATTATCTTTCTCTGTCATGTAATATCTCTACTACTTTAAAAATACAAAAACTAATTTGGTGTGCACATTTTTGGCTAACGTGCTTTTGTCTGGCTTTATTTCTCTATAGTGTTTTGAAAGCACAATTTAAAATGGTGACAAATTCTTTTTTTGAACATTTTTCTAGGTTTTTCTTCTTAGAGGCTTCAAAAGATCAAACTACAACACTTTACATAAGAGGTCAGAAACAGGCTTTTAAACAACTAACACATCATTCCAATAACATGTCACTTGTGTCCTATAATAATCCTAACATAATGTACTGTATGCGCTTTTAAAAATATTAAGTCTGCAAACATAGTCAGACTACTGAAGTACTCTATATGAAGATTAAGGGTAAAAGAATTAAATATCACATTTAGATTTTTATTCCACCTGACTCTAAACCTAAAACTTAAATTAGTTTTCACGCCTTCAAATCTTGACAGTCCACTGTAAGTGAAAGCTACATGGCACTTTCCATCATTCATATAATGGAACACTTAAATATATCAATAATATAGATTTATTATCATTTATCAGAAAATATTTCTTTCCTTCCCCATTTATATTTTTGCGTTAACGCAATGCAGCAACCTACAGCGAAAAGCACGGAAGAAATGCGCATGTTAACCTATTCTACCATTTCGTTGTTTGGTAATAACAATAGTGGAAAAATGGCCAGCAGTATCCTAGCAAAAATTCAACTGAATTTTCTCATGTTGAATAAGTTAACTGTAAGTTTGCCTAGGTTAAGGATAACATGTGAAGAAAAAGCCAGGCCATATAATATTAGGAGCTTCAGTCACTGCCCTTACCTCAACTCTTGCAGCAGCCCAGGAGCCTTGAGCCACTACTCTCCCATTGGATAAGAAGCTGCATAAGGAAGAAGAAAGGCCATTCAGGGGCTTTCTGGCCCCATAATTCAACAACTGCCACCACCCATACGGCCTAGAGTTGTACTTTAATTATTAGAGAGCAGAGGGTGGCCTGAATTATTATGACCTTCACTACATATAGACTTTTTAACTTCACAAGGTTATTTTGAATATCCACCTATTCAAAAAAAAAAAAAAAAGGCAAAATGCACAGTATTCTTGTCCACATTAGGGGATTTTTAATAAAACTGGTTATCTTTTCTTTGACAGAAGCAGACCAACGGAATTATCTCTAGGAACGATTCAATCCACTTGCTCTATCATTCTATGTGATTCTAAAAATCAATATCTCCATCATTAAGTTCACTCAAAAGCACTCCATAAGTACAGGATAATATCACTAGATATTTCTCCATACTAAAAGCCATCAGGGACTTTGGACTGTTACTTAACCTCTCTGGGCTTTGGTTTCATTATCTGAAAAATGAAGGGTTTAGAGAGGATATGTAGGTTCCCTCCCAGATCTAACATTCTATAGCAATACTGCTAGAAGCACATTTTGCTGTCTTAAAGTTCTACCATGTAATACAATGTAGTTTTACTACTAAACTAAAGTATAAATAACCATAAAGCAGTTTTATGCTATCTAAATAATTCTACCAGTGCTTCATTTCTCAGAAAAAATGTAATACTCACTTGAGGGTCTTCCTCTTTGAGCGTGTGCCGTGGCATCTGCTCTGTATCAGATATTTCATCTGAAGACTCATTCTTTCTTTTTTGTTTCTTACCCAACGTAATAATGAGTTTGCTGTTTCAAGAGGAAAGGAACCAACAGTAAGAACTCTTTTGCCTTTTTCTATTTTTGGTCATATTAAGATTGGCATGATAAACTTTTTTCCATTTTGTATCACATGAATGTTCAACCAAAGATAACTATCATGAAATCCATAATGACATTTTCAAGACAAGAACTGTATTCTAATGGAACAAACACAAACCAATATTACAGTTAACGTACTTCTAGGCATAGAAAGGCAGCCAAGTTTTAGCACTTGTTTCTCAGGCTCAAAATCATTTTTCATGGGAAAAATGTCAGGTGATAGAACTGTAGTTAATAATTAAAATAATCCATTTATTATCTTGTAGATTTGGAATGAGGGTTTTTTTCCCCCTTCTACCTCTTACTAAATTCAAACTCCTCACTTCTCCCCTACTTATTAAAACTTTAACAATGAATTGTTCTTTCATTATTTCATTTATGTTAAGGCCTATCTTAGCTGTACTGTATGTTCCTAAAAAGTTAAAAGCTCTTCTTTTATATTTCCACAGTTTGTCTGTCTCTCTCATATATATGTGTACATGTGTATATTAATATTTATACACACCCATTAAATACAAATGTTTAAAATGAAAATGTGTTTTCAACTTTTTTTCTTGATCAGAGGTATAGAAATTATAGAGCTCCCACATTTCCTTATTTTGGGTTCAACAGATAAGGGGGCATGATTTTAAAGCACCATACTAACCATAAATCATGCTAATTGCTTATCAGGGAAATTCTATTTTAGATATCCATATTTCAAACAGAGAAAACTTCCCAAAATATTTTGAAGTGTGATATATCAGAAACAGAATTTTCTTCAACAATTATTTACTAACATGGGGCAACTTGGAGGTTAAAAGCACACACTTTGAAATCATAGCATCAAAAATTTTAAAACTGATTCCACCACTTACCTATCTGTAAGACACCTGGCAAATTACCTGATCTCTTTTAGCCTTAGTTTCCTTGCCTGGAAAATAGAGATATTCTAATAGCTACCTCTACTGTTGTTGAGTATTAAGTGGGATAATGCATATGAGCTCTTGGCAAAGTCCTGATACAGTAATTTCTGAACTAACCTCTAATTATTATATGCCAGGTGCTCCTAGGTTCTAGGATTTGAAGATAAAGTGGACACAGTCCCCAACATTAAAGTGTCACTGTTAGAATATGAACACAGTTAAAAGGCAAAAGTGGAAGTTAGTGCCAGATGTAATGTGAACACCAAAGAAGAGGTGCTTATGTCTACTGAAGAATAAAGGAGGTATAGAGAAAAGGTAAAGTTTGAGATAGGAAACTAATGATAAAAGGGGGTTTAATTGCTAGTGAAAGAAAGGGGAAGGTACATTCCAGGTAGGGGGTGATATTACAGAAGAATGAGAGAAATGTGCAGAGATAAGGGTGTGTCAGAAATACACAAAGTACCGGGGCACCTGGGTGGCTTAGCTGGGTAAGCATGGATTCTTGATTTTGGCTCAGGTCATGATCTCACATCCTTGAGTTCAAGCCCTGGTGTCTGCTGTCAGCACGGAGCCCACTTTGGATCCTCTGTCCCCCTCTCTCTCTACCCCTTCCCCGCTCGCACTCTCTCTCAAAAATAAAATAAACGCTTAAAAAAAAAAAGAAATATACAAAGTAGTTCAGGAGGAGGAAATGGAGAGATGGTCATCTAGACAGAGTGAACAGAAGATCCTTGTATGACATGTAAGGAGTTAATATTTTAGTTTAAGGCTAGATTTTAAGCTCCACAGGGTGGGAATTGAAACAATCTAAATCTGTCTTGTTCACCACTGACAACAAATGGCTCTGAGATACTCTGAATAAATGAAAACAACCAAATAACAAAGCAATTGGGAGATATGAGAATTTTACACCAATAAGTTCTAGGGATTTAATAATATAGCATGGTGATGCTAGTTAAATACAATACTGTGTTGTCTATTTGAAAACTGCTAAGAGAGTGAATCTTAAAAGTTCTCATAGTGAGGAAAAAAACTGTCACTAGTGAGGGGATGGGTATTAGCTACACTTAATTGTGGTAACAGTTTTGTAATGTGTACATATGCCAAATCATTATGTTGTACACCTTGAACGAATATAATGCTATATGTCAATTATCTCAATAAAATTGGTGGCAAAAGGAATTTCCAACAAGAGAGCAATGCAACTCAAAGAAGTAAAATGCAAGGCAGGGAAAGGAGCAATCAGGCAAATGACAACTCAAGCGAGAGATGGCGAGAGCAACGGGGTCAATGACTGGCTGCCCAGATGTGAGGCAAGAAAATTCTAGGAAGAGTTATTCCCAGATTACTCTTGTATTGTACTGCATGATTACCACCTTCAACAGGAGAAGGATGACTCTGACTTGGTATGTCACCTGCACTCTTCTGACGACGTGAAGAAAGCAGACAAGAGGTACAAACACAGCTTATGTTGGAAGCAGGAAATCAGAGAAAGTCCAAAAAGATATTCTGAAACAGTAAGAAGGAACTAGCCGTGTTTGTACTTCATTCCTTCTCACTACTTTCACTGGTCATGTGTTCCCCTGTCTGGTGCCGTTTCCTTATGTTGGTTTACCTCCTAAAATACAACTCTCCCTTGAGGTCATGTCTACGATTAGATACCACATGATCCTGTTCTTCCTCCCTCTCATCCACACTTCCTAAAAAACTTGTCTACACGGTCGGTTTCATTTTCAGTACTCAACCGGCCATTATCTGAACTCTTGGAACTACTTTTCATTTTCAAAGCTTCCACTTATCTAGCAGAGGCAGCCTCTGCTGACTTTTGCACGCATTCTCTCATTTGATGTTCGTATGATTCCAAGAGGCAAATACCAGCATTTTATAAAAGGAAATGGAGGCTTAGCGAAGTTAAAGAACTTGTTCCAAGTCTCACCTATAGTAAGAATAGAGACAAACATTAAGTAGGCCTCATTCCAAAGCTTGAACTCCTAATGTCTGAGGCCACAAAGGACCTTTGTAATGCCAAACCCAAAGGGAATTTTTAACGCTTTACTACCAACGCATAACGAATCAGTTTTTCCTTTTCTGTACCCTTGGCCATGGGACACAATACTCTCCTGGTTCTTGCTAAACTTCCTTGGCTCCTCTTCCTCCATCTATTCTTAGTATTGGTAGTTTTCAGCATGATTCAGTCCTCGACAACCCTTTTCTATCCATCCTGTAAACTTTGTTGTTTCTCAAATTAGGGTCTTCAGCCTTCTTTTCTATCGGCAGTCCCTGAGAGATGAAATCTATTCATAAAACCAGCTGTTACTTAGACATTTCCACATGGATATCCCACTGATATTACAATCTCAAAATGCTCCAAATGCAACCTCTTTCTCCAAACCTAATAGTCTACTAATACTAAAGGTAAGTTCAGAAAAGCGCACGCATCAAAAGAGAACAACTTCATGAATTTTCTCAAATGAACACAAATGTGTAACCAGCTTCTAGATCAAGAAACAAGACATTATTGGGGCACCTGGGTGGCTCAGTCAGTTGTGTCCAACTTTGGCTCAGGTCATGATCTCACAGTTTGTGGATTTTAGCCCCGTGCTGGGGTCTGTGCTGACAGTGTGGAGCCTGGAGCTGGCTTCGGATTCTGTGTGTCCCTCTTTCTGTCCCTCCTCCACTCATTCTCATTCTCATTCTCATTCTCATTCTCATTCTCTCTCTCTCTCTCCCTCTCAAAAATGAATAAACATTAGGGGCGCCTGGGTGGCTCAGTCAGTTAAACATCTGACTACAGCTCAGGTCATGATCTCCTGGTTCGTGAGTTCGAGCCCCCCATCAGGCTCCGGGCCGTGGAGCCTGCTTTGGATTCTGTGTCTCCCTCTCTCTATGACCCTCCCCCGCTCACAGGCTGTCTCTCTTAAAAATAAATAAACATTAAAAAAAAAAAAGAAACAAGACATCATTAGTTTCCCAGAAGTCTCCTCTAGTGCCTCCTCATCCAGTAAAAATCTCCTCCAAAGGGTGAGCATGATGTTCTTTGTGGTTACACAATACAACCTAAGGCATTTGGGCAGCCCATCTTCAGTGGCAAGGTCAGGGATAACTCTAAGTAAAATCAGGTAGCAGAAATATATGTTTGATGCACTCCCCCATTTGCTATCCATCTCCAAACCTAAATGCATATTTCAGACTAGTTTGTAGATGAGACCAAAACTAGTAAAAAGGACACTTTAGCTACTTAAATAACAATTTCCTATGAAATGCAAACTAAGGCCTGTTAATACCCTTCAACATATTGCATAAAAAGGTATTTTCTCAATGTTGAGTAAGCTAACCGAATTATGTGAAATGCATCTTCTGATACAGGTTGCTTAAAAACTCAAATCTATAAGGTTGCTTAAAAACCCATATCCCAAAAGTAAAAAATTCAATGAAATCAAAAGCAGAGATTCTTAAATATTTCGTATTTATGAATTACTATGAAGAGGTTACACTGTTCCTTTGTGGTGGTGTAACGTAATGAAATGAAATCTCTCTCAGGACAGTGTACCAGGCTGCTTAAACATTAGTTTATAGACAAGTATTGCCTAAATCTCTAGAAAAGAAATACTAATAAGTGCCACCAGATCAACTTTAGACATCCACCCTTTTTGGCTGAGAAGGGTAAGTCAGATAAAAATATTTTCCGTAATAACTTAGATAAGCCTTCATTATATTAATTATTTGAAAAATGTTCTTAAAAAATTTTTTTTTAACATCTATTCATTTTTGAGAGACAGAGAGGGACTGTGAGTGGGGGAGGGGCAGAGAGAGAGGGAGACACAGAATCCAAAGCAGGCTCCAGGCTCCGAGCTCTCAGCACAGAGCATGACATAGGGCTCGAACCCCGAACCGTGAGATCATAACCTGAGCTGAAGTTGGACACTTAACCAACTGAGCCACTCAGGTGCCCCTACTTGAAACATATTCTTCAAAACAAAACAGTGCCTTTTAAATTTTATTTTCTGTATATTCTGTATTTTC